TAATGCAGAATTGACCCTCCAGATGTGACTGAACAATAACATTTATCATTCAACATCATTAATTGTTTTGGCTAGGTCTGATGAAAATTAAAGTTCAGCAACAACAAAGATGCTAGATATTGTGCATCTCTATTTAGCTTAAGTAGGAGCGGAAGTCTTTGACCTAAAAAAAGCACCTTAGACCACTGTGTGTACTGTTTCAACTTCTGCGCCTGCATTGAAAAGGAACTCTGCCTGCCTTCATTGAAGAACAATATTTTTTAACCAGACAAGAGTTCTACTTCTGTTTTAGAAAAAGGGATGTAAAGTCTTCTCTAATGTACAGTAGTCTAGCTTTTCTGAAGTGTATGGCATATTCTTTAGCTGAATACATTTTGCTGGATAACCAACTCTTCATGCGTTTGTACAGTATAGAGTTCATTACACTCCTTTAGACACAATAACCTTTAATCCATAAACCTATTTTCAGAGGTAATTAGCATAGTTTACAAAACAATCTTTTTTTTAATGAATGGTCATCACCAAGACAGCTCTTGTCTATAACAATGTGTACTAAATGTTTGCATATTTTTTATTTTGTCTAATACATCAGCAAGGCTGGTTCTTTCAGACAGCCTTATAAGGTGGTGCATTTTCATACTTTTTAAATATTGTGACTGTCTTTTGTTTTCTGTGGCCTGATTTGTTAGTGGTTAAAAACATAAGCGCTCCAAAACTGGAAAGGCTTCTGTTTTGCACTATAACTTGTCTAGCATGATTTCTGTAAGAGGAATTTAATCAGTATAGTGAAGCAGCCGAGACTGAGGCATTTGTCATAGGCGTTTTACAGCTTTGATCAAAGATTTTTTAGATGGGTTTGAATCTAGGCTGCTTCTAAGGATGTGATCTGTGCGTGACATTTATTTGACATGTGAGAAGATAAAACCAGCTCTTCATCACTATCAGGATGCCTGCTGGTTTCTACATTGCATCATACTGTATTATAATAACAGGGTAGAAATACTGGGCTTTCCAATTGTTAGACTTTATCAAGCATTACCAAATAAGTACAAGAGAAGTTTGTTTTTCAAGCTAAAACAGTATAAGTATTTGTAGTTAGGGTTGTTTTTTAACTGTAAGATAAACCACATACTTACATAGGAATGGTATATATGCGAGACTTGTAGCAAAGCAACAAAATCATAGAAGAGAATATCTGTAGCTCAGGGTTGAACTGTAAAGTTCTTGGGATCCCCTGAGCTTGGTTGTTTTCTTGCAAACGTTTCATTACCTGACTAGGTGACATCTTCAGTGCTACAGTACTCTATAGCACTGAAGATGTTACCTAGTTGAGTAATGAAATGTCTGCAAGAAAACAGCCAAGCTCAGAGAACCCCAAGGACTCTGCAACCAAATCATGACAAGCAAGGTGTCATATCCAGTCTGGATTTATCCAGGGTAACTACTCATCCAACTGTAATCCAGACAACTGTCCAGGGAGAGATTTTAATTCAGATGATGCCCTGGGAGGGAGTCTTGAGAAGGGTCCATTGTTCATTTGGGGCAGAATTCTTCTCCAAGGCAGTGGGGAAAGCTGGGCTACTTTCCAGGCTTAGAGAATTGGAAAGTACAATAACAAGCACCTATTGGATAAAAAAAATAAGCATTGATCTTAAAGTACCATAGATTTTTATGAAAAAGGACTCCTTGAGAATAAAACCCAGCTCCCATGCTTTCACCTGAGTCCAGTTTATCAGAATTCAACTTTACATGCCAACTGGTGTTGGTTACTTATGGAACCTGCTATAAAGTTATAACTTAGGCTTTGAGTTTTTATCAAGTGTTTTCACCCTTGGATAATCTTGGATTATCTGGGTTTCTTGTTGAGCTGCAATTCCCAGCACCCCACAATAAATTTGGTGGTTGAAACTGCGGGGAACCACAGCACAGAGAGCTATAGTTCCCTGCAATTTCTGCATGATGCTACTGTAGCTCTGACCTTGGTCTGCAGTTGGCAACCAGCTTGCACTTACAACAGTTGCAGTGTCCTACGGTCACATGATCTCCATTTGTGACCTTCCCTGCCAGTTTCTACAAGCAAAGTCAATGGTGAAGCCAGCAGGGAAGTTATAAATTGCTCCCGTTAAGTCACTCCTGGGGATCTCATACTCTGTAGTGTGCACCTGCCCAGCTGTGCTTGCACTGGGCTGCAGCACACACACCCCGCCTGCCCTTGTGCTGCAGCATTCACCCACCTGCCTGCTTGCGAACCACCTAAGGAAAAGCTTGTTGACCGGGACTTGCAACTTCCTGCTGGCTTTCCCATTGACTTTGCTTGTGGGAAGCCGGCAGGAAGTCACAAGTTGCAGTCATGCGAGCTCCTCGCTTAGCAACCTGTGATCCTCAGTTAACGATAGCAACCAGGGCCACCTGGATTGTTGCTAAGTGATGTGGTCACATGACAGCATGCTTTATGTCCGCATCACTTAGCTACAGAAATTCCTGTCCCAATTACCATCATAAAGTGTGGACTATCTATAATTATAATTCAAACTGCTTCTGTCCTGTATAAATTTACATACATTGAAAAATTGGACAGATTCATGCATTGATTATTACTAGAGGTTTGCACAAAATGGAAAATGTTTTTTTTTTCAAAAACAAAACATGCCTGCAAATTCTGGAAGTTTTACTGAACTGTTCTGGACTGGCTTGGACCTGAAACAAAATCTGGAGGGAATGCCTTGTGGTTTTATGGCAAGATTGGTGAGCATCGCCCCCTTTCTTCTCCTGCTACACATGGCCTGTATGCCAGCCTGCCTTCCCTGATTTTCCCAGCACATTTTCCTTCTCTCCCTCCCCCTGCTCTGGTGCTGCTACTACCACCTCCGGCTACACTTGCCATCACTGAGAAAACTCTTGAGCCTTGACATTTTCGGCACTCTTGCTTGAAATAACTTTGTTTCAATTTGCATTCAGAACAGCCCAGTTTAATTTCTTATATGAATCAAAACATGTGGAACATGTTCAGACACTGCTGACCCTAAACCAACCATTTCATGCACAAAACAGTTTCCACATCCCTTACTATTATGGTTGTGATCCATATTTGTAAGATACAATCTACGATCTTACATGGGATGGGAGGACCTGACTGCCATGGTTCATGCTGTCACCATTATGTGTATAGATTACTGCAGTGTGCTCAACATGGGGCTGCCTTTAAAAACCACCTGGAAGCTTCTTTTGTTGCAAAATTCAGTGGCCTGGGTGCTCACAAGTGCTTGCTGGTGGACACATATTACACCTATTTTGTGGGCTCTGGATTTGCTTCCTGTCAGCTTCCCAAAACAATTTGAAGTACAAATGTTTATCTTTAAAGTCTTTTGTGGCTTGGGACTAGGCTACCTGCTAGAACCCATCTCTCTTCTAAAATCGGCCCAACCATGCCAGGAGAAGCAGCTGGTTGTCCCCTCTTGTCAGAGGGCCAAGGCCCAGAGTCGTCATTTTGCTGTAATTGGGCTAGCCCCATGAAATTTGGCCCCAACACCAATCTCCTTCTGGAAACTTCCGAAAATTGAGTTTTCCCAGAGGACATGGGGGGCTGATAGTCAGATGCTATATGGAATGTACGTTTGGGCATTTATAACTATTGGCTTTTGTATTTTTATTTTTTATTGTTATTACTGTTTTTCATGTAGTAAACTACTGAGTGTCTGCATACACAATATTAATGTATTCTATAAATAAATAATTGAACTTTTGTAGCAGCTATCTTAAGAATAGACAACTTTGTGTAGACAACTTTGCATTTTTTAAAAAACAAATCATGTTTCTAGTTTTCAAATTTGCTTATAAATTGAAACAATTTAACCTGTGTCTCACTGAAATGGAAAAAAGGAATGAATCCTCTGAGGGTATCCTGCATACATTTCTTCTCCATGATCCCATCCATATCTGTCCTCTCCCTTTGTCATTTTCTGTTCTTGTTTCCAAGTTTCTCCATTCTGTAATTGTAATTGCTGCTTAGTTACTTGTGGAATTTTCTCTAGTCTTTTTTAAAATTACATTGTCAGAAGAGGAAGTTAAAGATGTGATTGATAATGCATGCCTTAGTTACTCCTCAGTTAGATTACTGTAATATTCTTATGAGGGGCTGAACATAACCAGAAATTTAGCTAAAATATGACTACCTAAACTAGTTGGTGCTAAACTGGCTTTCAAGCACAATCAATGGTTGATGTTGAAAGTCTTAAAATATTTTGGGAATATCTCCTCTATTTGTCGCTTACATTTGTTGCTTACGTTTGTTTAAAGATTGTTGGAGACTCTTTTACTGAAGTCTTCCTATAATTTGAGGTTAGTTGGGATATTTCAAGGATCAATTCATGGATGTTGCTTCCTGGCAGATTGTTTGGTGATTGCAGCTTGAAAACCTAATAGATTGATTTTGGTAATAGACTTTGGCTGTTACTGTTTAAATAGGTTTCTTTTTAAGTTAAATTTCACACAAAAATGAATCTAACATTAGGATTTATTTTCTGTTTGAATTAATTCCTAATATCATTGTAATATCAACTCTTAAAATGAACTTGCTGGTCAAGAATGCTCTGCAGTAGAAATTTCTAAGTAGTAAGGAGCTAGAAGCCAGTAGTTTTCCATCCGTGTTGGCCACAATAGTGGTAATATCCCCGAAGACCCTGCCAATAAGACTCCAGGCACAAGAAAGGTCTGTGTAACCGGTTTATTTGGTACCAAACAAAGCGGGGTCCCTCTCCCAAGAGAGGGAACTCCCATTCGCGTGCACAAGATGTTTTATACCTTCTCAGCCTGCCACCTATTGGTTACCTCCTTGCGCAAGCGTTCTGAAGCTTTAATTATATAAGTGTTGACTTCCTTCTGACCAAATAAGGTCTTTCCCCTCCCTGAGGCATGGACTTACGTAATTGGGGGCCTTGTTTTTAATATGCTGATGGTCCCTTTGGTGACCTTTGGTCAAAGATGTCTCCTGCTGGCCTTACCAGTCCAATCCCGTCCCAGACAGCCTTTTCTACATGGCTGGCAGGTGCAGCACTCACTTCCCGTGTCACTGCCCTCACTAGCATAATCCCATTTTTAGATAGTAGTCATAGATTCTATTTGCACTTTGTGTGTGTGTTTTTGTCCAAAATCACAGTGATTTGTGGACCACAGTTTGAGAATCATGCATGTAGTGCCTAAAGGGTCAGCTCAGAGTCAGATCTCCTTTGGGTGGTCTGTTATCAAATTCTCTGTGCTTAATTTATCCGATAGACCTGTAGGGATAAAATTGTTGGTGGTGGATAAAACCACGCATGCCACCTTCCATGCCTTTCAAGTGAGGTAGGATAATCCTGTTTCTTTGTCAGAACTATTGGCGCTGGCTTGAAGGACTTGAAGAGAGAACACTGTGAACTGTACTACCTCTTTTTTCAGTGTTTGTGATTGATAGAATGCATTGAGAGATGCTGTAAAGGCAGTTACCATAGTATTTAACAACAAGGAATTGAAAAGTCTCAGTAAAATTGGAATGAAATATGTCATATGGGATTTAAAAAGCATATTTTTATATTCGCTGGAGAGTCCACCTGGAAAGAAGAGAAGAAATCAAACACAATATGGTAATGAAACTATCAAAAGTGTAAAGAACTGTATGTAATACTGGATCATATTACATCTGCAAGATTATTCCCAGAATCATCCATTTCCATTTGAGATAGAAAATCCTATTATGGCTGGGTTATAATTCAGCCACTAGAATATCTATAGACTGAAAAACTGAACAATTTGGAAGCATCATGTAATAGCTTGTGGAGGAAAAAATGGCAGTTGTATGGATGTCAGAGGGTAGAGTTTTGAAGTTATTTAAGTTTTGAGGAGGAATTTTGTTAAGTTCAAATTAGATTTCTGAAAAAATAAATTTATGTATATTTGTATGCATAAATGTACATTATGTATATATATAAAATGAATGTATATCTAAATTTAAGTATATAATGTGACTTCTCAGGTAATGTCACATTGGATTACATTGGTGCTTTTGTGATCTAAATTACTAATGTTTAAATAAACAAGCAAATAAATAATGTCTACATTATGCTGCCAGACAGAAGATTGTATTCAATGCAATTTCTGTTTTGAAATCTGATTGATGGGATTCTTTTCTTTTCCCTTTCTTTCTTTGGTTGATGACTGCAATTAAGGCCTAGTGTAAAAATAAACTGCATTTAATCTTTTCCTCCTGCATATGCTGTACTTGAATCTATTTAAATAATTTGACTGACCAAGACAAAACAGCTTACAAAATAAACCTTAAAAGTAAATAGACTAATAAATAGGAATATTGAAATTTAACTACAGCAAATTTAAAATAGGAGGTTAAAACAGTCTGGTTACTTTTTTTTTTTTAATTATTATCTTTTCCAAACTTGATTCTGAATGCTATTTTTTTCTTGCTGTGTAAACTGTGCATAGTGATTATTATATATTTAACATCTAATTAAAAAAACATTTTGTACACACTTTATATTTTGATGCTATATTATATGTGGGAAAATTTTAAAAGAAACCCTTATTTAGTGAGTGTTATTATTCCAATTCCTTAGTTGCTTAGCCTTCAGCGTATCATGCTATGTTTATGATTGCTTCTCTTGAATGTTATGCGGTGATCATATTTTGAAAAGGTATATGGATATGAAAAATGCATTATTTAAATAATAAGAGACCAATTCTTAGGATTCATGATCTGTAAGAAAGATTTGAATTACAAATAGAATAAACATTTTGTAAACAAAGATATTATGTAAACATATAAAAGGCTGCCGTCTAATATAAATGATACTTGAAATATTTATCAGTTACTGTGTAAGTGTTTTGTATTTGTTAATAAGGATTTTCTAAAATATTTATTATTGTAAAAGAGATTAGTGAAGCATAAAGTTTATGCATAGGAAAAAAATTCAAAACTACAGCTGCTTATATGTAACTTGGACAACTCAGAATCAGCTCTACACTCCAAAAAATTATCAAGATTTGGAGAAAGAAGAAAATAAAGTAGTACACACCAAGTCTTAATATTTTGCATCATTGTAATGACCAGGTGTGATGAAAATAGGACCACGTGGGGCACCCTGAATAACCTGTCATCCCAGAGAAGATTGTCTTGCTGTTTTTTCTCAGTTGGCCTTGATAAGGAAAGAAGAGAAAGGCCCAGTTCAGTGGCTAACAGCAGCAACAAATGAAGATTGGGAGTTTGCTGGCTGCCACTCCTGCTGGTTCTAGTATGTTCACTATGCTGCTTATATTACATAGTTCTACATGCAGTCTGGTTACCACTTAGTGCTGATCTAATATAGGATGTTATCCCAAATGTGGGATATATTTTATATATATATATCTTTATTTGTATACACAATTGTTGTCTTGCTCTTATGATAGCAAGTCAGGTTTGTTCCATTGTGCTACAGCTGATATGCATAAAATTATTCAATATGTATAGATTTTCTTTGCGATTCTCAATTAAAGGAAACCAAAAACAATACAACCAGACAAATCATAATAATGGAAAGAAGAATATTTGTACATAAAAAGTACTCAGTTGTAAAAAGCCTACTTAAATAAGGTGATTTTCACTTGGCACTGAAATAACTAGGCTCGAATCAAACAGTTTGTCTTTTTCTGTTTTTCTACAGCTGTATTCATAGAGAATATTTTGGTCATCTTTTCTTGTTCTCTTTCAGAAAGAATTGCCTGCTTCACCATTGTTATCCTAAATAGTAAATCATGTTTTTTTAAAAAAATTGTTATTTCTCTACATTTCTTCTAGACAGAAGCAGAGCTTCCAGTAAGGCATTCAGGTGCATAGATGGCTGCTTAACTATTTGGTAGGCTTTCTTCTCTGATAGAACCTTACTTGCTACTGATCTAGTATATGTCAGGCCAGTTTTCAATTACCTAATTACCTAGCTGTATTAAGTGTCAGGTAAAATCAGGACTTGAATTCTTACATTTGTTAGCTTATGAAATGAACTTGCTGTTCTCTGACACTGATTATTCAGTGAGCATAATTAACCAATTTCACTCTAATGCTTGAAAATAATCATTTAATCTAACCCAAAAAAGATTGCAAAGTTGATAACTGAAATGATCACTGTTGTCAGCAATTTCTGAATAGGATTCAATAACTAGGTGACCATGTTGATGTGATGTCAATGAAAATCCCATATTAATCCTTGTGAAAATAAACTCCATTTAATACAATAGGGCTTAATTTTTTAATAAATATGTATAGAATTGTGCTACACAAGATTACATGTGCTAAACACATTTTAACTTTATTTCCATCAGCTATTCTTAATTTTAAGTAAATCATTCAACAAACATACATTACAGATTTATTGGGCCTCATTGTGTTTATATAGGAAAGGAATGAGTAAATCATTGTGTTGTTAGAGATGTAGTGCAAATAACGCTTTAAGACATATATTTTTGCATTGCCCAAATATTTTCTGGCATGAAGTAATTATATTAATTTGACTTTGAGACTTTTGGACTCCACATTCTTTTGAATTATTTATTCATATTTATATGACCGCCCATCTCACAAACAAGTGACTCTAGGTAGCGTACAACAAAGTTAAAAACAATATATACAAACAAGTATTACTATTATTATTATTAAAAACTTTAAAATTATAAAAGGCACAAAACTAAAAGATAAAAAATATTGGGCGAAGAGCAGGTATTAATAATTGGAGCTGTAAATTTATCTTTCCAATGTTGAAAGACTAGTTTCTTAGCAATAAGAAGGGCATGGAGAATCCATTTATGTTATCCAATCATCATAATTTTCCATGTAATAGGTACATAGGTTTTTTGCTATGGCCCCCACTTTATGGAACATTCTTCCCCCTGAAAGAAAAAGAAAAGGAAATACAACTTATTTATACCATTTGTTATATCTGTCTATATTTTTCTGTCCTTGCAGACCATCTTTGTTTCTTCCATGTCCACAAACAATTTTTTGTTCTTTAAATTTCTTCTCTTTTTCAAAGATATTAGCTCCATCCAACCATAGCTTTCTCTTCCTCTCAGTTTATGCACTTCTTAATATTTTGTGATTCAGTCCTCATTAATTCTTTCTGTACAACCAAACCAGCTGAAAGCACTTACTTTGTACTGGTCATTTACATTTGTATTAAATCCACATTTATTCATCATGATTCATTTCTGACCCTATCTGTTCTTGTTTTACCATATACGCTTCATAAGTAACTCTTTCATACTAAATTCAACTTACTTTTATATTTCTCCAACTTTTTCTTCCACATAAAGTAAGGAGAAGCAAACTGTTCTGCAGTACCATTTCATTTTTTATGACAAGTATTCCAATAACCCAGGTACTACCCACTACCTTTCTACCATCATGAAAATGCACATCCTGAACATGTCTCTATTTTCTCTTTATTTAGCAGGCATTTTACAAAAGTACACAAATACGTCTAATTTGCTTTTATTCTTTGCCAGTTATGTATAAACTGCAACAATTCATTCCATTTTTCCTGTCAAACATAACTGTGTTGGTCTTTGATACATTAAGTTCAGATCCATACTCCTTGTTTCATCAAACCATCTAATTGCTGCAAATCATTTGGGTTTCCAGTTAGCTACAAGATAGAATTATACAGTGCAATCATATATTTAGTAAAAATAGGCTTGCACATAACATGTTTTTAGTAAGATAAAGAATCAGTCGACTAGATTACTAACATTAATCATACCCATGCCATATACAATATTCCCTACTAACTATAAGGAGCTAATGCCAGTTATGGGACATTTTGGCCAGTATGCCATAAGTGCAATCATAGCCCAATCTTACCCCACACATTCCCATGCTATTTTATCAAGCTAATATTTCTAATCTAAAGACTATCTTACATTGTACTGTTGTTCACATCCCACCAAGCAGGAGGTTCAGGCTAGACACACACACACACACACACACACACACTTAATTAGAAATAAAGATTTGAATATTTTTTCAAATCACAGAATTTTGAAAAGGATAATTGTGTTCTGATTGTAA